TGGGTGGAAGCAGCATGCGGAAGTCAAATAACACCTTTTTCATCAGTCTCAGCCTTACTTACATAGCCGTTATCCTCATGCCCCTGCCTTGGTACATATACGCTTTTTCCTTAGGGAATTTGGAAAATAACTTAACAGCCAACATGTGTTTTCATGATTTCATGTATGGAACATTGGCGATAATACCTCATTCGGTAACCGTATTGCTTGCGTGTGCTTTAAGCATACAACGATACACGGCCATTCGGTACCCATTGAGGGCGAATGTCTGGTGGACTTACAAGAAGGCTCTGGTTATAGTGTTTGTATTTTATTGCATTGATATTGCTATACACGTCCCTGGATACCTAGTTGCTGACAGTCTTGAGACAGGACTTTGGAATTTTACATCAAATATCACCGAGGAAATGAAACCCGGAATGTGCTTAGCCGTCCTGAAATATAAAACCTGGGTAACAGATCCAGTTATGTTCGGAATAATTTGGCTAACCCTTCGGAACACATTTTTAGGAACTATCCCTAACATTGTTTTAGTTTGCTTTGTAATTGCCACCGTGCGACATCTTAGAAAACTTGATGACAATTCGAACTTGAAAGATGGAAGTTATCATTTTGAAAATGCATTAACATTGCACTCAAATACACAAATACACCGACACAGGCAGACACGCATGGACACCCCGACGCGGGTAATATCAAGCATTGCTTTAACAGTTACCATTGTTGAGAGTATCACTAATATAGTGGTCATTTTAAACATACTCCAAATATCACATCCCGATGTGGTTATTTATAACTTAAAATGGTTTCGTTTTCTATACCAGTTCCAGTACATCATCATTTTTCTAGGCACAAACACGGTCTTTTTCCATAGCTGTTTTTTGCATGCCTCTTTTCGGAAAGAACTGAAAGCTATTCTTTCTTGTTTTTCTTAAGAAAGTTTATTTTTATTTAAATAATGAAACGGTTCAAAACGGAATATATATGATTATAAAGATTCCCCCCTGATGATCCTTAAGAGGGGTGTAAGTATATACGTACTAGGGAGGTACTTAGAGATTTGTATATATTTATTTATCTTTCTTGTTATAGCTGAAAACGACATTATTATTTTGATTTTGCCAGGGTGAAACCTGTGAAGGTAAACATAAATTATATATCTTGAAATCCGTAAATAATGTTTAGGCTGGTTGATGATCACGTGATCCAATATAGGTTTCCGATATATTTAATTAGTCCTGGGAGTTTGGTCATCGAGATTTATCATTTATTTACCCTGGTGTAACGCATGACTGCTGCGGTTGATTGGTGCGCTCTTTCGATGTTACGTAGTTGTGTTGACAGGATTATGTTTGCACTTCACGATTCATTACAATCATAATAACTGTAAATGATGTATTATTCATTAAATACAGTTTCTGTTTCCATCCTAGCAAAGTAAGTTGTTCATTTGTTATACATTATAATGAATGTATAAACATTTTTATTTGTTGTTGCTGTTTCAAATGTGTGAAATATCATCTAATCGTTGAATTATTTATTATATTTTAGTATTAATGAAATAGAAAAAACATATGAACATATGTCAATTTAATAGTCGACGCTGAAACTACAAAATCCTTCAGAATAACAAAGGAAAAGAAAGGTCCTAATATCCTTTAAAAAACAGATGAATTCTGATTCGCTAAGTGTTCCAACGATAGTCCTGGGCCCATATTCATGAAACCATTCTCATGCTCAAGTATGGATGTTGTGCCCAAGCCTAATTTCTTGTTCTTGTTATAACTTAGTAAATAAATCTTATTTTGTCAATGATTTGGAAACATTTGAAGAAACTTAAAGCCAAATACTGTTTTCAATGTTTACATTTGATCGTTTGACATTATCTAAGCGGGTTGCAAAAAATATGGTTTGAGCACAGAATCCATGCTTGAGCATGAGAACGGTTTCATGAATACGGGCCCTGGTAACAATAATCATATCACCATTTTTGATAGCCTGGACGTAAGTTGTTCTCCCAATCTACTCAGAATAACGCTACAAATGTATCCATTGAAAAGGTACGAGTAGAAAAGACCAGGTGTTCCAGAAGGATTAGCGTGTTGTGCTTCATCGACGACCCTGGCCGTGCATGTAGGTCAAGGTCAAATTAAAAACTGCTACAAACTCAAAATGATATATTAAAGTCTTCGTTCAGAATGATGATATAACGGTATATCAGGGTATAGCTATTCTAACACAGCCCTTATTGTGTAGAAATTGTGTAGTTGTCACCACGGCCTTATTTACAACAATACAATGGTTGCTGCACTCTCCATTGCTAGCTCACATAATTTGAATGTGTCCATCAGTAATTTCTTCCAATTACTTCTTCTTCAAAACCAGTGGGGAAAACCTCGGTGTTGAGGACCGGGCAAATCGGAGTGAGTTCTCCCTAAGTGTTACTTATCTTACCCTTTGTAGTGGATATCGACCAATTTGGTTTGAGACATCCTAAGGTGGAAGAAATTTTAAAATGCGCTAACAGAGGGATTGACCTGCCGGGTTGCCAAAAATGGTAACTTTGTCATATTGCACCAAGCGACTCGACTGAAGCTATATGATGATATTGGCCATATTCAGTTTGAAGTTTATTCAGGTGGTCCAGGATTTTAGTTCCCTGGTAGTCTTGTTATGGGAGGAAACAGAAGTACCCGGATAAAACCCATGTAGTCGTGAAGGTTACCCATACCTTTTCAACTCCAATTGGGGAATCGAACTCTGGACAGCTTGATGAAAGGCTACATTTTGTATATTTAATGTAGTGCGCTATCCACAGAGAAACCCATCTATCCCAGAGTGAGAATTTCTCAATGTCAACCCCGGCCAATGTTCAGATGGTTTGTAATGAGGTAAAAGACGGTTTACGTATTTCCTGCTGCTGGTCCTACGGAACAGCACACATTACGGAACACCGGTTTAGTGACCCGTCAAGTTCTACATGGGATAGGCATAACTAGACTGCGTGGCTAGTCACTTTAAGGAAACCGGGACTGCGGACAACGAAACATATATCGCATATATTCGTATTCTAAATATGTCTCTTGTTATGCATACAGACATGAAACCTGTAACGTCATTTCGTTCAATAGAGCATAAATAGTGTGCTTTCAATAAACAATCAATCAAAATTAGATACATGTATAATCATGTATGTATATTTTATACTTTTATTGCATTTGTTCTGCGCATCAAGTAAAAATACAATTACAACAAATTATGTTGAATGTGTAACAAGAAAAAAAATAAGAGAAATTAGGTAAGAATTTATTTGTAACAAAATAATTCGGTAGACACTGCAATGCATGAGTATATTGATCTGAAAGAACTAAGAAAGAAAGTGTGGAAAGAAAAAAATACGCAATTTACAAGTGACTATTTAAAAGTGAGCATCAGTGGATATTATGATGAATATATCAACCTTACCACTAACTACACACAGACAATGATGTTTTTTTACAAATCACAATAATCAACATGTAAGAAATGCTAAGAAATTATTGGTAATGGCAATTTATTATATTAGAGTTAAGTTTAACAATTTACTGATTTATGAGAAAGAACGATGTTACAAGACAAGCGTCGATGTCAGGAATGACGTCACAATAGAGCCACCCATCCCTTATTCCAGTGTCCTTCGCGGGCCGAGACCACAACCCTCCTCCCTAAAGAACCCGTCAACCTATAATCTAGTTGTTTATTCTTTGAACTGGGGTGTATAATGCCATCCTCCCAGAAGTGCCACGCCAGCTGGGCGACGTTTTCTGAGGCTTTAGCGCATTGTCTTACCCTTCTGTCCAGTCCGTCAATAAATTTCCATTTTGGGCAAATCTGGACAGGATGTTGGCCAATCGAGTACTAACACATTGTTTTGAGCTAGAAAAGCACGACACATTCTTGAAACGTATTGCCCGGCCGACATTGTCCTGGTGGATGGTTTGATTCCGCTGACGGAAAAGGGGAATTGCGTTGGGCCGCTGATCCCTCTATCTAACGGCTGTGAGATTACTCTGGATGACAACATCAGAACAGATGTCTCCACAAACCATAACAGACCCTTCTCCAAATCTGTCATTTTCCTGCGGAATGCCGCGATTTGTATCTCGTTCACCTCGACGTCGATGGACTCGTTGGCGGTCATAGACCGAAAAAACCCGTAAAACAAGACTTGTCACTAAGTTGTCAGTACAGAGGACATGCATCCGATCAGCAAAGCGATACACAATATTGGACCATGTGCACGGCAATATTACAGACGGCGTGGAAGAACATAAGGACGCCGTGGTTTAAGTTGAAATCGCGTAACCGATTTCTGACCGTTCTTCGGCACACTCGGCGTCCATGCCCACCAATGACGTTGATACGCGTTGACTTTCGCTCCTGAGAAGACTACATGTAACTATGCTGACAATAGGCCTAGCCGATGCATGAACACCAAACCGATGTTGGACGCGACGTTGTGATTGACCTTGCAAAATTTGAGCAAACGATCGAGCCCATTCTCTATCAACTTCACACATGTTTGGACTAAATCGTTGTGCACTTTATCTGTACAGATCAGAAGTTCGTTTTGGAATGGCTTTCAAGTTTATCACAGGTGGGTAACTTCTTATCTATGTATAACTAGATATGATATTTGATTGTTTTGGCTTTAGAATTAAGTTATATTATGATATGTTTAGTGCTGTTAACAATCTGACAATGACATTTAACAAAAACCCAAGATGTATAAATAGCGTATTTTTCTTCCACATGCTGTTCTGTGATGTCTGTTTATCGTGCGAGTTCTCATTAAACCTTATTGTACCACGAAATTATTTTTTAATTAATTTATTCGATAAGGGAAAATACAACAACAAACAGTATAGTGTAAATACTAGCATGTTTCACGATTTCATAAATGTAGAGGTTTCGTTTCGTTTCTCTCTTCACTGGTTTCGTTTCGTGTACATTTTGCAAATTATACATACTGGTTCAAGATGGCGGCCGAACTTCAGCAACAGCTCGAGGAGTTGGTTGATTATGTTAAAACAGGCGTGGAACGACAAGATACAACTGTTCTAGGAACATTAGTTGCTGTAGCTGTTGTATTACTTACTATAGGTAAAGTTACAGTCTATAAACCTAACATTCAGTATTATATCACCGTTAATGATGATGAACATATTGCCACATGGGCAACGACTATACCGACATATGCTCATATGGCACCGGTATTGTAAAAAATGTTCAAGATATGTTAGTGCCTAATCTTAAACAGTGGTGAAACGAAACAGGTTAAGGCCATGTTATCCTCTTTCATAGCCATGTCATTTTTTTTAATGACGTTAATAATCTATATTGAATATTGTGTTCTCAAACAGAAGAAAACTTCACCAGCTGTTCAATTCAGAGGCTACCATTATTAATAGTATGCAAGCATACGTTGGAACTTTAATTACTCTAGATCTATAATATAATGACGGATGTCCTTTAATATATAGCCAGTGGCCACACTCTAAGGTTCAACAAGCTCCCTGAAAGAGGCTATTGTCACCCTAAATTCCAACCCCACGATAGGTGTCGGGTCGTTTCGTAATTCCTGTAGGAACTCTATCTAAATCAGAGAATTATAACGATAGTTACGTTATAACGTTATAAATCTCTGATTTAGATAGAGTTCCTTCGGAGATAGAGTTTTTCGGGTCGTTTCTGGACATGTCAAAAGTCGTTTCAGGATTTTTCATTTTTTTTAATCTTCTGTAGATACCATTGTCTTGTTCATTTATACACCCTTAGTCATGCTGAGCTTAATTTCTCTTCAGCTAGTTGGTATAGAGAGGCATGCCGGCCTCAAAAGTAGATGAGTATTGCTATGGCAATGCACAAAAATCATAGTAAAATAAAATGCCTGAGTAACATATTTTACCATGACCAGTATACAATGGATATTAGTCCGAATTATTCTGACATTTTATCGACTTTTTTTTACATCGGTCTGGAGGCAATTAACAATATAAGTCGATAAAACGACAGAATAATTAGGACTAAATGTATATTTAATCCAAGGGCCTAATGTGACAGTTGTGATATTACTAAATTAATCCTAGACTGGGTAGACTTTTGTATCCTGAAAGTTAAGAAGTGTATTCAAGTTCAACTCACTGCTATTTGCAGGATAAGCAATGAAAAGAAGAATTGTTCTCTTATTATATATATGTATATAACTTCTTACCTGAATTATGACTATCCAATGATTTGTCAATTCTTAATCTGAAATAACTGACCATCTCTAATAAAATAAAAATTAGAGGGGATTCATTATTTCAGACTTTTCAGAATGTTTATTTCTTTGTTTTGTAGTGAATATTTCATAAAATTGATTTTGGAAATGACTTTTAAATAATAACTTTATTTATTTAAAAAATATATATAAATGTATAGTCGATGCAAGCAAAGCAGACATAGAACTTTGCAGTTCAATATTATTGCAGTCATATGCATTATTGTAACATGCAGATCTTTTGGGATAAAAGATTGGTACGGACTACATGTTTTGGTTTAGAGGAAGTTTGAATTATGTGAATCTGTATATATGTAATATCTGTGGGGTTTTTTCATTTCAGTTATATTACTTTTTGTGTCACGGAAAAGTAACAACCGTAGTGCAGTCCTGTTACTTGGAACCTGTGATGCTGGGAAGACACTACTATTTTCTAGAGTAAATATATCCACAAACTAAAATATGTAATAATGTATGTACTGACATAGCAATTCTGACCTCAAATTAATTTATCAATACAAACATGTATATTTATATAGAAAAAATCATTGATAAATATAATTAATCTTGTAACAAAACTTAATAGTTTAAAATAAACTATAAAAATAAAGCTGATGTTTTAAAGCAGTATTTAATTTGTGCAAAGTTGGCTATCTTTTTATGCTGCAATTGTGTGTGTATAAATAAAAAGGTATTTAATGTTACCCAAATAGCTGCTCATGTTCATACAATTCTGATAAATATCCTTTGTTCCCCAAGAAACAGACATGCATAGGTTTTACTATTGAAAACGCTGATTTTGTCGATGATAATATTATATAAATAAGTCATGTTTTTTTATCTGTCAATATTAAACATAACGAAATGAGAGGCCTAGTCTCATTAGTAATCTGCTTTCTACAATGTCAATAATATATACATATAATAGTGATGGGCAATCGGTTTAAAATCATAATTGATAATCGGTTTGTAATCGGAAGTAGTGAACCGATCAATGATTGATTGCATAATCAGTTTATAATTTTATGGGACTGAATACCCAAATACGGTAAAGTGAGAACACTACTACTACATCAATAGACAGAGTGGTTCTCTATACATTAGGTTTTGTTCTTTTATAATGTATGCACATCATGCAAATTTTATGCATTTTTAGGTCACCTGAGCTTTAGCTCAAGTGACCTATTGCTATCCGTTTTCGTCCGTCGTCGTCCGTCGTCCGTTAACATTTTACATTTCAAACTTAAAGTCAAGTTCTGCTGGGCCGATTGAACTGAAAGTTGGTAGGAATGATCGCCTCATGGTCCTGACAAAGTGTTGTTATTTTTCGGGTCGATCAGAAATCCAATATGGCCGCCACGGCCGCCATTTTGAAAACCTATTTCAAACTTAAAGTCAAGTTCTGCTGGACCGATTGAACTGAAAGTTGGTAGGAATGATCGCCTCATGGTCCTGACAAAGTGTTGTTATTTTTCGGGTCGATCAGAAATCCAATATGGCCGCCACGGCCGCCATTTTGAAAACCTATTTCAAACTTAAAGTCAAGTTCTGCTGGACCGATTGAACTGAAAGTTGGTAGGAATGATCGCCTCATGGTCCTGACAAAGTGTTGTTATTTTTCGGGTCGATCAGAAATCCAATATGGCCGCCACGGCCGCCATTTTGAAAACCTATTTCAAACTTAAAGTCAAGTTCTGCTGGACCGATTGAACTGAAAGTTGGTAGGAATGATCGCCTCATGGTCCTGACAAAGTGTTGTTATTTTTCGGGTCAATCAGAAATACAATTTGGCTGCCATGGCCGCTATTTTGCTACTAAGTTCTAATAGGCCGATCTCACTTAAAATTGGTCTAGGAATGATCAGCTCATGGTCCTGACAAAGTTAAGTTAACATTATACTATTTTTTACTCAAATTGGTACATATTTCAACAACAAAAATAAATACTGTAGACTCAGGTGACCGTTTAGGCCCATGGGCCTCTTGTTATCAATCATACAGAATAAATCATAAGAATATATGACTTTCAAAGCATATTTCACATGGAAGACATTTAAATACTGATGAACTGATTATATCGATTGTGGAACTTGTAATCGATAATCGGAATCGGAAAGGGCAAGCCGATCAATTTTCGATTATGATGGATCATTAGCCCATCACTAACATATAAAGTACCACAACTTCGTTAACATCTATTTCATTGATAAAATTATTTGAAAATTAAAAGTATCAGTTCTTTAAATAATGAAATGATCGGTACCTAGTATATATCTGTTTTATTTTCTTGTTTAAATTTACTTTTATTAAGCATTAAGTTGTACATATGATCTGGCAACCTGAATCCTAATGATTAGGAAGTCACACTTCCTGGGTAATGGTCATTTTCTAGTTTTAAACTATTTTACTGGACCGGTACCGTTCCTGTATATATATTATTGTCAAATTTTCTGAAGGGTTATAATTATAAGCATTTCAATTTTGAATGTATAATATGACCTTTCTTATCCTTATAAGCTTAATGATATTTATTTTTAAAAAATGAATCATTAATGAATTATATATGTGATATATGAATGCTTGCTGAGAAGTTCTATCTTAATATCTAAAAGCTAGCAGAGCTGACAATAGTCAATAACAACTTCCATGTTAAAAAATTGTATGAGGTCATCAAAAACATTTAAAAGGAGAAAGTTATTAGGACTAAACTTTGAAGTGTGTTTCTTTTGACAGCTGGTTAAGGAAACAACTGATGATATAATGACAGTTACCTCAATGGAATCAAATATTGGAAACTATAAAGTCAAAAGCAAGGTAAGACATAAAAATGTATGTTACATTAACAGTTCAGCAATGAGTTACCTCCCTTTCATAACATTTCAAATGAATATAAAATTTCTCTGTACCAAGGGTTGACCTTAGTACATCATACACAATGTGTGACATCCTATTTTGTGACATAATTTCATCAGCTTATTAAAAGTCATTGATTTAACTAAAATAAGTTTTTTTCACTGGATAAAATGTAAGAAGCTCAATACATTTTTACTCTTATAAGAACTCTAGTTAGATCACTGAGAATACTGCAATGAGATGACAGTCAAGTGATTCGATAAAAGCAGTGTTAATTAGATTAACTCTTGGCATTTAACTCATTCACCCCTGACATTTCATAATGAACTATTCCAACCTTTGAATCAGAAGAGTTCAAAGTATCTCAAGGGGTGAAGTTAAATTTGTTCATCAATCTTAATTGATTTTTTGACAGAATAAAAGTCTGCGTATTGTGGATATTCCCGGACATGAAAGACGTAGGACGCAGTGCCTGGATCAACATAAGCACATGGCAAGGTAGGCTTGTTTTAAGTTTAACTTCTCTAGAACAAAGTTACCTCCTGGTATCAAAGCCACTCAAACAAACTAAAAAATAATGGATATTGGATGGGGAAATATAGGGGAGGTTTACTAAAATTGCTATATTTTGCTTTTAGGGGATCTGTGCAAGAGGGTCAATCAAATCAGAACATTATTTTAGAATGAATAGCTCAAGCAATGTATATCAACAAGGGACATAACTCCATAAATTTAGGTACCAATTCATGTTCTTATTCATATTCATTTTGTCTACAGACAGATAGATGCATGGACAGACAACCAAACCACATTATAACCCTCCCCATATTATACATTTAGTGGCCTTGTAGAGAAATACAACTCACAAGGACCAAGCTCGAGTGAAACATTTATGAGGGAAAAACAAAGTATCATTCTTCCCTAATGCAAGAGCACTTAATAAATGTATTATATATACTAATATAGAACAATAACACAACAGTGAAGATATATTTGGCTACCGCACCATTGTTGTCTATTTCATCAACTTGGAACTCAGATGTGGTACGTCTTGCCCTCTAGCTAATTTTTCTAGAAAAGACTCCACATAAGAGAAATATGTCTGTAGTTTTCTCTTCTGTTTAGATACAATCAAATCTTCACACCTACCTTAGTATCTAGAAAATTGCAGAATTCATCATTATAAATTGTAATGTTTAAATGTGCTTGAAATATCATACCAGCGTGTATTTGAACATTTCGACACCAGTCACAGAAAAAGTGTGTTTGAAAGCTTTATCTATCAGTTTGCAATAATAAAGAGGAATGAATAACAATGCATGAATATTTTCAAATGAATTTAACTGTCATTTTACAATATCAGAAAGCTAATAATATCATGTGTTAGATATATATCTAATTGTAAATTAAAAAAAGAGGTGTCTTGTCGGTACAGGTAAAATCACAGAATTAATTTAAGTCCAGGGTTTAATAATACTATATTAGATTGGAATAAATTACAATGTATGAATATTTTCAGATGACTTCAACTGTCATTTTACAATACCAGAAAGCAAAAAATATTACATGTTAGAAATTGGACAAAATGTACCCAAAGTGTTTTTACCTATTATACATAATCTGTAAAAATCTACCCCTTTCCAAAGGGTCAACAGATGACCCATGGGTAATAAACCTTACAATTTAGATTAAGCATGCATGGACATTTCCATCCATCAAGAGTACATGTACTAGTGTTGGATTCTAGTAAATCTAGAGAAGAAGACTTTTGAAATTTAAAAAAAACAATAACTACTTATTGTTTCATGTTTTTACAGGGGAGTGGTGTTCTTGGTGGACAGCGGGACACTAATGAAAGAGGTGAAGGAAGTAGCAGAGTAAGTTTACAGTCAATGTACTCACCAAAGTCATACTATCGACTTCCTGTACACAGTTAATGTACTCACCAAAGTCATACTATTGACTTCCTATACACTGTTAATGTACTCACCAAAGTCATACTATTGACTTCCTGTACACTGTTAATGTACTCACCAAAGTCATACTTTTGACTTCCTGTACACAGTTAATGTACTCACCAAAGTCATACTATCGACTTCCTGTACACAGTTAACGTACTCACCAAAGTCATACTATCGACTTCCTGTACACAGTTAATGTACTCACCAAACTTCCAAAGTCATACTATTGACTTCCTGTACACAGTTAATGTGCTCACCAAAGTCATACTTTTGACTTCCTGTACACCGTTAATGTACTCACCAAAGTCATACTTTTGACTTCCTGTACACCGTCAATGTACTCATCAAAGTCATACTATCGACTTCCTGTACACAGTCAATGTACTCACCAAAGTCATACTATTGACTTCCTGTACACAGTTAATGTACTCACCAAAGTCATGCTATCGACTTCCTGTACACAGTTAATGTACTCACCAAAGCCATACTATCGACTTTCTGTACACAGTCAATGTACTCACCAAATTCATACTATCGACTTCCTGTACACAGTTAATGTACTCACCAAAGTCATACTATTGACTTCCTGTACACAGTCAATGTACTCACCAAAGTCATACTATCGATTTCCTGTACAGCATCTTACCCCCATCCTGTTCAGCAGCGAATAACGCATATCATCCACCTCTCATGTATACAAATCAACTTCCTGTAAAAATCCATACCCCGTCCTGTTATTAGTGTTAATTGATTTATTTTTATATCAGATTTATCCTTGTTTAATAGTGTAGCTAGCTAGTGAAAATAATTTTCAAGTACAAAAAAAAATTAAAACAATTAACAGAATTAATAATAGGCTTGTTTATTTTTAAAGGATGGAGTCCAAATTCTAGCGAAAGGATGAGTAATTTTCTTAACTTTGTCAGAAGGACCTCAAATCCATCACTGGAAATAATGATGACAAATTGTTACTAGACTTTCATATTACAGTGTAGCTTAATATCCCATGAAAATTAACTATTTTTTATAATTTATATCTGGTTGTACTACTGATCATTTAAGTAATTCTTCACCTTATATAGCTATGTTGGTCCCATAACTTTAAAGTGACCTCACTAGAAAAGTATCAGAAAGAGTTACCTCCCCTGAGTTCTATAGGCTTTGATCTCATTCCATGGTAATTGTTCTTTTTCGAAACAATAATATATGTTTCTCATTTCAGAATATTTTATTATTTCTTCTCCTGGGGAACAAATATTCATGTTTCCCCCAAACAAAAATGAAATGTGTAAAATATGCTTAACACAATATATATATTTGAATTGACATGCTGCTTAGCATAAACACTGCTGGTTGTCAGTGCTGACTTACGAAGAAAGATAGTCATAGTCATGTGAATGGACAAGGAATTTACTCCTAAGCATCAAACTCTAAAATATTATTACATATTCAGTGACATAATGTTTTTGTCACCTGGTGTTTGTTGTACACGTCTTTTGTATATGATATCAATGTACATGTTCTTGTGTAATACACCTGCATTCCTTCTAAGTTGTTGCCGCCTCTAGCTAAACATGTCTCTTTTTATTGACAGGTATTTGTACACGTTCCTCAGTGATAGTGTGATATCAAACAACGTTCCACCCATACTGGTCGCCTGTACCAAGTCCGATCTGACACTCAAGAAAGGCAAAGATGTCATCAAGAAAAATTTAGCTGCTGAAATGTATGTTTGTGTTCTTTAAGTTTTAAAATATTAAAAAAAGGAAAACAAATACCATTATTATCATCCTGTGTTTGTCTGAAAATATTCAAAGAAAAGAATATCTCATTTACTAAAACAAGAAATTCACAGTTATCACCAACAGTCGAAAATGCTTTCAAAATGAAATATTAATATAATACGTAACAAAGTTAGGTCATTTCTTGTTACTGTCATTTGTGCGGTTTCATCATATTGAAGTAAACTTAAAACACAGAAGTACATTTGTATATCCATGTCACGAACTGAAATAATTATTATTTGCTCAACTTCTTTCGGAGAAAATTACTAAGCATCCTTCTTCTATAAGACTTATTTTAACTTACATCAATATATAGAAGATATCTAAAAAGTTATTATTGATTTTATAATGAATGATAACACTGGATATTTTTAACATAATCAATCATCAGAGATTTAATATAATATTTCTCCCATTAATTCACAATGTGAAAACATGATTATTCTGTTCAGAATTTCAAGAAGATCAGTATCTAATGTTCAAATTTGAGGTGGAGTTTCAGGTACTTGAATTGCCTGCTATTTTATGACATCACAATTTGAACTACTTTTTCCAATACCACTCAAAACTTACCCATGTACAATTAGTGTATAGTTAAGAACACAAAATGTATCCAGTCATTTCTTCATTACTAGGAACATCATGCGAGTGACTCGATCGGCTGCACTGCAACAGCTGGAAGGAGCTGCAAATAACAACACATTTCTCGGGAAACGTAACAAAGACTTTGCTTTTGAAGACCTCAAACCTCTCAAAGTGGATTTTGTGGAATGCAGTTCCTTAAGTGGCAAAATCGATCTGTCTCAAGTTGAGAGTTGGCTTGTAAAGTTGGCATAACATTTGAGAAGTCATTGTTTTGTACATACTGTGTAGGAAAAATTGAGTCTGAAAAAAATGACGTGTAATCTGATGAATGACTGCTGTGTGGAGTGTTGTTTAAATGAACTCGTTTTGTGTAAAGCCACCGTTACCATATGTTTACATTTAGTCATTTTTATGGCAGTCAAAATTGACTTAACCTCTGTTAAAGATTCCAATGAACACTCTTGTTTCCAAGAAACGGGTAGATATGGGTAGAAACGGGAAGATATGGCAAGCTGTCAATTACAGATACATACGGTAGCTACAGTACAAAATTTTCAAAATTTAAGTATTTGCATATCAAATAATATTGTATGTCCCATAATCTTTCATCGTTTTTCCTGTGGATAGGTGATTTATATTAATTCTCAGAGATTTTCTTAACAGATAAAAAAAATCTTAAAATGTTACCTAATGACCCAATTAATACATAATATTTTAAATCTGCCGTTGGTTGAAGGATCTGTCAATTAAGGTTATATAATATTTTCTGTATATAATTATAAAGATTAATGCAATCATGCATGCTGCTAAAAATTGTAGATTTTTATTGTTATTTGAAAAGTATCACATCTGCCACATGTCATTTTGTGTAAGGAAGGGTTATCATTCACATAAGTAGAAGAAATAAATTTTGGAGAAATGTATTTGTTAAAATACTGTTTGTGTTGCTTTACATCACCTGACATATGTACACATTATCCATAGAGCTACCTCTTTAAAAGCAAACTTTTGAATTTTTGGAGAAATATAGTGAAAGCTTTAAAATCTTACACCTTGAGTATCGGTAAAGCGATTCTGATTTAAATTGGTCTTGAACATCCTTGGGTGAAGTTGACTCAATGGTGTATACATGAAGGGTGGGGTTCCCCTGGGTGTAGAGGGTAAGGGTCCTATAAGGGAAATAAATGTCTATCTTTAATGTCATACTTGAATGTAAGCAAAGTTGATTTTGACCTTTTTTGGCCTGGAACAATATTGGGCTGAGAAAACAGCTCTGTGTAAATGGAGGTCATGAAGGGAAATAAAGATACGTTTTTAAAATCCTACTTAAGTACAGGAAAAGGGATTTTAAACTTAATTGGTCTGGACCATCAATAGATAAATTTAACTTTGGATAGGCAGAGGGGTGAGGCCCGAAAGGTGGAATGAAAGGAAACGTTTAAAATACTCCTTGAGTAGGGGTAATGAATTTTACCATAATTTGGTTCATGCTTTTGGAAATTTAATTAACAATTTATAAAGAAAGGGTGTTAATGCCCCATAGGGGGTGGTGGGGAAATGTAGTTCAAAATACTTTTTCTGTGAGTATAGGTTAAAGGATTTATAAACCTCAATTTGCCTGGAGCATGTTTGAGCCAAGGAGTCACATCATGGAGACATAAGGGTGATGCCCTTCTAATATTAAGAGTTTGCTGAAGGGAAATAATAATTACAACAAAGTATTTGGTAAACTATCATAGAAAATAATTATGATTTTATTTATGCATGTTTTTTGTCAGACTTGTTATGCATTATGTTTACATTTTGAGATTTATTGAACACATTAATTTATAAATACAAATTTAACATTCACAAAACAGGTTTATGAAATATGTTATTGAAATCCATTTGTCTGCTTCATATAAAAAAAAAACCACTATAGCAGGTCATCCTGGATATCCAGGGGTTCCGCTCACTTTCGCTCTCTACACCCCTGGAATATGTCGTAGCAAAATTGAAGGCTCAGTGTGCACCATCTTGTTGACGAGACAAGAAGACTAGTTTGATCCTTTGATGTACATCAAAAGAATCTAGCAGTCACGTAATGATAAAAATTTACAGGCTTTGAAGTCGGGCATCTGGCCTTTGGAATCTTCAAAGGACAGGTAACAGCCTAGCTATTGGTCATTTCTTTTTTACCTGAGACCAATCAAACAGCTGTCTTCGTGCCTTCAATTTTGCTATGACATATTCCAGGGGTGCAAAGAGCGAAAGTGAGCGTAACCCTTGAATATCGGGATGATAGCAGGTAAGCTGTAAAGGCTCATGGCCCTCTTTTGTTTTACATTGTCAAGTTCATGTGGTATTATACCAAATATACCTACCAACTTTCATTTAAAGCTGAAGGGTTGGATAATTTTACTTTAAAAACAATTAAATATCTTCAAACCAATTATATTCTATATCCAGTGATAAGATTACTATATATTTATCATGAAAATATAAGACAAAACTCAATTATGCTCCAACCAAATGACTGCTTTTATCTATAAAACTTTTTCATTTAAAAAATGTACCTGGTATCCTTTATTCAAGGTCCCAGGGGTCAACTGTTTCAAAACACTCAAACAACTTCTTGTGAATAACAAAAAAGTAGATTAATAAAGTTTGTCCTGTGGTTTGCTAACATGGAGTCCTACTAGATTTTAGAAAATAAAATAACATGGGTTTATTCTGAAGAAGAATGGGAAGACCCCCAGAACTGATATTTGGCCAGTAACTTCCCTGTATGGAATGCTACAAATTTGAAAAAATGACCTTGATTCATATTGGAGAGCCATGATATTTGGCCTTAATCTTGTTGGCATGGAGTGCTACAACATTTGCAACAGACTTACACTTCACCTATATTTAAGGTAACATATGAAACAATAATAATAATAATAATATACAGCATTTGATAAAGCACCCTATCTAGCTAACATAAGCCACTCTAAAGCGCTTTACAAGTACATAGATATACAATTAATACAATTAGCATATACAATTTGGAGGATTTCGCAGGAGCTGCCTTATCAGGCGCTACTATTAGCCCAATGCCACATTGTTAATATCTCCCTATGTGTGTATGCATACGTGTAAGCTGGAGATGTAATGTGTTCTGTTTGTAGTGGGACCGTGCTTCCAACGGCATCTTTTAAAGTGCCACCTCACTTGAATGTTACAGCACAGATACTGCAACATCCACCCCAGACCAATTTATACTCCCCCTGGGTTGTTGAAGTTATGTGGGCAGGAGAAAAACAATTTCTCTGAATATCCATGCGTACGACGACTTAGGTGATCGAACTCCGGCCGCCTGCGTGGAAGGCTGGAATAATAACCACTCAACCAATCTGCCCATAAGGGTTTGGTTTGGTTTAATTTTGTTAAACGTCTTATTAACAGCTAAGTTCATTTAAGGACCTGCCCCCATGTGTGTAGTGTAATGTGTGCTTGCGTGTGTGTATGCAGGAGACGGGGTATGTTGGTGTGCTTGCCTCCTTCTGATAGCGCGGTTCTGATGCCGACTTTATAGTACTTTCTCACTGAAATACCATGCCGAAGGCACCAAGCACAGCATTCTGCCCGGTCACATTATACTGACAAGGGTGAACCAGTTGTTGCCATTTCCCTAAATGCTGAATGTTAAGCAGGGAATAACTACCATTTTTAAGGACTTTGATATGTCCCGGCTTAGGGACAGAACCCATTGCCCTCCTCATTATTGCGAACGCTCAACATTAATGCAAAAAGTGAGGTGTTGCCAAGCAAAGCGCTTGGAAATATAAAGGTAGTTATAAGTAGAAAGAAAGATAAAGATCCCAAATATTGCGATTGGTCTAGCAGATTTATTTTAATCGCTTTTGTTTCCCCAAATAGAGGACACCAAAGCAAACCCCCAATTCCGTTGGGGGTTCCAATGTTAGTCGCCTCCTACGATACATCAGAGACGTATATATAGTGCTGGTTTAATATCTCCCTGGATACATGTAGTGGGTAATAGCATGCGCAGGTGTATTCTTTTTTCGATCCCCCACCTGCAAGGGTGGCTCATAAGAGTCTGATTCCTTAAATTATCAGGATTCTGTGATACTGACTTGTAATAGCCTTTGTCGGTTTTGAACAGCATACAATATTTCTATATATAAAACATCATTTGCGATATCAAATTCGAACAAAAATCAGTTGCATTTGCAACATAAGTCAATTACTGAACCTTGAGCCCGAGTTTCCTCTGGCCCTGACACCAGACTCCCACACCAGAAATGTATTTGTCCTTTTCTTAGTCAGGTGTCAGGGCCAGAGTAAAACTTTGATGGGACACAGTACGAAAGAGCCTTGTGTGTTTTCACGTCTATCACAAAGAACACAAAATTTAACAACCCCGACCGTGCTGTAGATATACAGTATACAAAGCATCGTTACACATGAGTCATAGCTTCATATACTTTTTATAACAATAAAATTATATGATACGGTTACGTGACTGTACGCTGGAGGCAGTGCCATTTTTAACCACGTTACGTTTTGTGAGAAAACTACCAACACAAGTGCAATATATCGATCACAATTATGCACATCAATTTTGCCGAGTTTGGCCTTTAGCTTATTCTTTGTATATTGAACATGCTTACCAAGTTTCATCAAAATCGAACCATATTTAAACAAGTTGCAGACTAAAGTGAAAAAAATCAGCTAAATTTCGGCGAAGTAAAAATCAAGAAAATACAAAAAAATCATAACAAAACCGAAATTCTTATGATAAACAACGGAAAGATGTACAAGGAGATGACTGAAAAAAAACAAGGATTATAATACCAGAATGAGATGGTTCTAAAGGAGGAGATGCGTCTTCTTCTTCATCGACGCAAATCTACATGAAATCCAAGTATATTTACTTGATTATTACCCAATCAATAATATATAGAACGAAGTTTCGGCCAGATTTCGCTCTAGTCGCTACAGGGCACATTGACGTATATCATAAACTCATTGACTTCCAAAATATTCAAGAAAAATAGAATATTTACCGATGAGGTCATGATGAACAGCGACCATTAAAGGCTTTAAGTTCAGAAACAGTCAATGTGCACCGTCATTTATCGTTTGCGATGTCTGTGAAAGCTATTTGCCAACATTTAAATGTGTCATTGGCCATGGAAAGGTTACCACTGACAACCATTTTCTGTTCGAAACAGACAACCTTCTGCGCATATATCAATGCTCCGCTTCACTGAATTTTGTCGACTGTTGTATGACTTACCTTAAGTCAATACCCGGGGACAATAAAACAAAGTAATAAGGCCTTTTTATGTCAGATGTTATGAAATGCAATATTTGAAATAGTGTAGCGTTTGTTATGGAGGCCAGTATAGATTTAAACCAAATCATGTTTGTCAGAATTATAAATGACAGTTAAATGCAAATTTACTCAAATCTAAATCTAGTTTTAAAGATTTTTAAACGAAACAAATGCAAGGTGGCATGATACATTTTTCGTTCAGAAATGATGAACTAAGAATACTAGTGACATCCCCAGTGAACGTCGACCGAGGTAGGAAACCTTTCTTACGCAGTTCTGTCGCGTATGATAGCTACTGCTTTAAATTAAATAACTAATATACATCTTACTTTTTAGATGCTAAGAGAATCAAACGTGATGGAATTGAAATTGTACATCTGTACTTACATAAATTAAGTTCTTCGTTTGTTTGGGGTTTAAGGTCCTCGCAACAGCCAGGGTCATATGAAAACAGGTGCCTCGGGCGACACCGTCGGGAAGATAAAGTAAATAGGAAAGAAAATAGACACGACAGATAGGAAATAAATAAAATATCCCAATTGTTGCAATTAGGGACAGCAGATCATTTTTCGTCTATTATTTTGTTGAACGTCCTATTACCGCTTAGGTCATTTAAGGACGTGTCTCTTTGTGTCTAGTGTATGCGTGCATTAGGGTATGTGTGATGGAGGCAGGGTATGTTGATGTTTTGCTTCCTTGCGTTAGCGCGGATCTGATGTCGACTTTTGAGTGTTACTTCGTCAGGACTTTGGTATGTCTCGGACTGGGAACAGAACCCATGCCTACCCCTCTCGGGCGAACGCTCTACACCAAGGCCAAAAGTGAGGTATTGCCACGAAAGGCGCTAGGAAACAAAAAGGTTTTCAGGAAGTAGAATGAAAATTCAATATTCCCTTAGAAGAGGACGCAGAAGAAAGCCCTTGATTCTGCAAGTGGCCAACATTAGTCGCCTGTTAGGATACACATGCGGTGGGATATAGGAGGTCTATTCTTGGTATCTTCAATGTCCCCTGAACAGAACGAAAGACAAGGAAGAAAGCTGTCCTGATTCTGCAGGAGAGGCGAATTTATGAATATATTAAGATCTGAACAAATGACATGCAACAATGAGGTTGATTTTCAATCTGTCGATCTAGCAATTTTCGCTTGGGCGACAATATTAATATTGCTTTTTGAATTTCAGGCAAAACCACCTCTTGAGAAAAATGTATGACCTTTATTGCACTGGTATTCATCTTACTATTAGCAATTCATTGATGAAA